ATTATGAACGTGATAATTGGCTGACACTTGTGAAGAATGAGGCGTATACGAATTTTTTTTTTTTATATTAGAAGATACATTTCACTTGTTTGCCAGAAGAACGTCTTAATTAATTAACAATTAGGCTGAGTATGCAGAAATTATTACTTCCTTTATCCTTTGCATAAAATTGAACTGTGTCTCACTGGAAGAGAATTTGTGTTTTGCTTCTTAAAAATTTCTCATTTCGCTTAAAGCTGATGCCAGCAGTGAGCGGACTTCTGCTACATTGTGGTAGATCTGCCACTTTTTTGAGCATCTACCACTCAAGGTCTGAAATCTACCACATATTCACGTTTTTGAGTAGTTTTATTTTTGCTTGACATAATTTTCTTAATTTTACGAGCAAAAATTGTCCAACACTAAACACTATATGGTAACAAGAATAATATAATACAAGATTCCGGCGACGATGAAATTTCTCAAGTGAAAGTAAACAAAGCCGAATGGGAGGATAAAATAAACTGTAAAGTAGCAAATTTTCTCAGTAATTAATTTTTCGACAGGAAATGTGGTTTTATTGTGTTAAATTGCATAATATATGATTTATAAAAAGAATTAATAGCGAAAATGTTAAAAAAGGGCGATTTTTATGAAAGTATTAGCAAATTTAAGTGCATCTAAGGTTTGTGAGGCGTTGTTTACTTTTACTTGAGAATTGTCAAAATCGACAAATCCCAATTAGCTGTTTCTGGAACGTGCCACATTTGTTCGCTACTTCGTGATGTGATATAAAAAACTGGCAGCACTCCGTAAGGTTGCAGAAATCTCTTACAATATATTCGAAAAATATCTTAATATGAAAGGAACTGCTTTGCACCGTCAAGGAAAAAAATTGCCAAAACTCAACGCAATTTTTAGCAACTTCAATCTTGCACTTTATTATACTAAAATTATTTTTTTAGGGTCTAATTAAAAAGTTTGCAATTTAGGCGAAACCTTGCAGATTTTTTTTAATTTTTGTACAAAGTTTGATCCAAACCCAGAGAACTACCACATTTTTTCCAGATTCTACCACACAGAGTTTTTTTAAAGTCCGATCCCTGGATGCCAGATAAAACTTTGTAGCTTTGCGTGACATTTATAACTTTGGCAGCCAGACGCAAAAGGTATGCCACAATGAACTCCAAGAAAACAATTTTGCACTGCTTTTTTACTCGTCAAAATTGCTGTGGGTTTTATATATTTTGCTTTAAAATTATCAGCAATGTAATTAAGTTTTATGTTTCTGCATGAAAACTCGAATTTGGACGAAACAAAATACATAAATATTAAACCGGCTGATTGTCGTAAGCGCGCAAAAAGATGAGAGTTGGCCATCTTTTCGCTTCGCGCTGCAGCTTCAACGATCTATGTGGCATGCTTTGTGCATTTTCATACAATTCATCTTATCTATCTTATCAAAGCGAATATGTCACGTAAAGCGAAGCAAAATTTTTATGTGGCATCAGCTTAACAATCAAAAACAAAAATAGACAGCAACTCTTTGAGCAAAGTAAGGTTTGAGAGTAATTTATTTTTTTCTATTTCGATTTTCTTCGTTTATTATATTTATTACATTTAGGGCCATTTTTCCTGAGTTTTTTGTTTGAGTTGTAAGGTTCTTCCAGAAAACGTGTGATATGAACTTATATATGAGCCGTTCAGTGCACAAATTGATTAACTCGCATCAATAAAAAGTTGGGAGATACGATCAAATAATGTACATTATTTTTTAAACTTCCATTTATGTATATAACAGAATCAAATAAATAATGTTATAAATATTATGTACTATTTTATGCGATATAAAGTTAATATAAACGTAATAAGTTATGACTGTACCAAGTGCTTTGACACTTAAATTTAAGATTTTTCAGAAAGTGGAGTTAGTTAATCGATGTGTGCACTGAACGGCTCATATGTACTTATGTGCTTATTTACAAATAATAACGATTCTTTTAAATCAATTACTATGACGCAGTATACCCGAATGGCTTAAAATTCTTCCATATTCTTACGATTTTGGCGTGTGCATTCTATTGGCTCAAAATATTCGTCATATCTATCTTAGATACAATAGTAATACATATATATAAACTGTTTGTATGTAGAAGCTATTCAATTATACAACTGATGATTTTACTCATTAAATTCTCTAAAACCACATGCGAAACGTTTTAGAAATAGTAGGTATTTAAAATCAACCACTTCAATAAAGTCAGTCGACGCATTGTCGCAGAATTAGTTCATTAAAAAGTAAATAAAACAACAATGACAATGCGAATGCATATTAAAATTTTGTATACATATGTACATATATATGTACATACATATGTATGTGTGTATAAGTATAACGTGTCTATGATAGACGCTTGATAACATTTTATAGCTCATCCAAGAATCGCCTACGTTTTGATTTAATGCACTTTTTGCAAATAAGTACAACGTAGATATGTATGTAATTAGGAAAACAATTAGTTGGAATACAATTTCTGACGTATGTATGTATGTAGTAAAGGTAATTCAAATTTTTGAATGGCATTAAATATTAACGAAATAACCCAATAAACACCAAAAAAATATTTCTCCAACCTTGGAGAAATTCATAGTTCTCAAGTTGATATCCAACATCATTCTCCAACTCGTCTCTAACCGACGCGCAGATACGTAAAAAGTGATAGAGAAACGAATTTTTAATTATCAAGTGAAAAACGAAAGCTATATAAAGAGGAAAATTACCAACAAAAAGTAAATAATCTTCAAAGTATCCTCAAATAATCTGGAAAGAATTTAAAACGCCAAGTGAATCAAGTGGCAAAATTACTGTCGGACTGTATACTGAAATGAATTATTGTAATACGATATTGATTAACTACATAATACAAAAGAAGTAATAAAGTGAAAAATTAATATTTAAATTCATCTATGTATGTCGTTTGAATCAAAAAGGTATAAGGTATTTTACTATTTCAATTTCAGTATTTCAATGGTATGTTTGAAACCAATTGGAGAATTACATTGGAGTTCAAGTTGAGAACTAGCATTTTCTCAACTTAAGAAACAGTCCTTTTTTCATACAAAGAAAAATGCCCTTTTTGTTGAGAACGCTATGATCCTCCACATGAGGTACTGTTGAGAAACAACGTTGGAGATTTGAGAATTACCTTAGTTCTCAACTTAACCTCAAGTTGAGCTCAAACCTAAATGTTTATTGGGAATATGCATGCTGTTAGACTGCGGTTGCCAGACGTACTGATTTTATTCATTTCTCCAATCAGTACGCTAATACTATGTCTCCATTGAGAGATTTATCCATTAAGATTTAATAAATCCAGTTGCTAAATCACAACTGTCTCCATTACCACAACGAGATATGTTTGACGTTCACATTTTTAAATATTTGACGTTTGCTTATGTATGATTTTATAAATACAGTTGCGGACATTGATATACAGACAGATAAAAGGAAGGTACCAAGCGGAATTTCATTATATGAATTCTGAATATTATTGGCTTCTTATTCGTGGTAAATATGTATGTATAATATATAGTTTGGAAAGTTTAAAGAATGGTACCATATTCCGAATCATTTTCCCGAATTTAAGAAAAATTATCAAAATGGTAAAAAACATTTGCGAAAAGAAAAATTTTTGTAGAACTCTCTTATTCATAGGAGGGAACCGAAAATCCAATCGTGGGCCTTTGGCATATCATGAATACGAACTGAGTTCTAGAGGATGTTCGGTGCAATGTTATCGAAGCAGAACCATTACCGAAATTTATAATTTTTTTGTCGCAGCGCGTAAATGACTTATAGAAAGCGGAGAAGACTCTGCATGATATTACTATAAAACATTTCTTCTAAATTTTTAGTTTTAAAAATAATATTTTCTTAATTTATTACAACCAAAGTTATGTAAATATGTATTACTAATTTTCCTCCCAAACTAACAAAAATACCTAAAAATACGAAAATTCATGTTTTTATGATAGGCTAGATTTCAATGTCCTCAACTGTATATTGAAAACACAAATGTCATTTGACTTATGGCATGTGAATTTGTGGTTGCCACATCCAACAAATTGTACTTATTGATCAATATTATTGAAGATTTGACGAAGATTTAAGTTAAATCTACTGCCTTTCGAGATTTAATTTTATATGGTAAATCTCAAAAGATTTAACGTCAAATCTCGTCAGAGGGCTAAATCTTCATTAAATCTCACAATGCAGACATAGTATAATGTCCTGATTTTTCAAAATTTGTACTGATTTGTACTGAATTTTCAATTGAAAGAAAATACTTTAGCATTTTCTTAAAGTTTTTACATAACGTTGGAACTTCCTTAAACTGTACTGTAAAAAATAAGAAGAAAATAATTTAATTATAGTTGACATGTTTTAGATAATGTTTGATATGCCCAAGAAATTAATATAACAACAAGTAATTTTTAGCGAAAAACCAAAAATCGACTTCGATTCTCATATAAAAAATATATGTATATATGTGACCTGGTCTACGAAAAGGGAGCTTACGTGCGAAAACTAGATTTCTGTGAAAAAGCTGTTAAAAGAAAGCAACTCGTTTCGTCAGTTTCTCATTATCTCGTTAATTGTTCTCCGCGCCGGACGTCCAGTAAGTTTTGTTGTTGGTCCAGTAAGTGTTGTTGTTGGTCCAGTAAGTGTTGTTGGTCGGAATATTATTATAGTTCATCGTGTAAGTTGCTAGTGTGGAACATTTAAAAAAGTAACACTGAAGAAGTGACGTTTACTGTTTCTGTTGATTATCGTCTTCGCATTTCGCATGAAATGAAACATGAGTGTTGATGAGGAGTTCAGTGCCGTATACGGACAATATTTCCATGAAAAGGATGATGAAAACGATGATGAAAACTATGAAGAGAGCGATGATGATGAAGACGAAGTATGTGTATCTCAGGCAGAAGATGATACCGAACAAACTTTTGTTAAAATGGACCTGTATGTTGTTGATGTAAAGGAGGAGGAGCTGGTAACAAAATTTCTGTCAAAAGATTGTTGTAATAATGAATGCCATACACTGATACCACGGGAAATGATCGAGAGTACGCGGAACAATTGTTTAGAGATGTCGAAAAATGAACTTGATTTAGTGATACTAAGTCACATCGAAGCTGGAATTATGAGTAACGAAAAGCTAGAAAGTGTATACGCAAAGCTTGCTGGGCGGAAGAAATATGGACAGAGACAGGATACAGAAGTTATGAGGCATAGAATTCAATTTACCTTCTACAGAGTACCTGTTTGTCGTTCGTTTTTCCTTTTTGTACATGCCTGTACGACGAAGCGTTACGAAAATTTAGTACGTCATTTTCACGCACAGGGTGTAACAGTGCGCCAACACGGACTGGCAAATAAACCGAGTACACATCCAAAGTCATTTAAACCGGCTGACATCGAAAAAGCTGTTAAATTCATCGAGTCTATAGCCGATTTAATGGCTCTTCCACTGCCCGGACGACTCCCAAAATTTAAGGATTTTCGGATAATGAAACTGCCATCCAGCGAGACGAAGTCCTCAATTTATCGAAAATACATTTCTTCACTCAGTGATGACGAATTGAAGATGAGTAATTGCAGTTTTCGACGGATATGGTCCAAATACATACCCCATATTACAGTTATGAAACCAGCGGATGATCTCTGCGATGTCTGCCGTGGTAAGTAGCTCATTATTTTCTCATTTTATAGTTGTATCAAACGTTGAGATTAAATTCAGTATTTTTTCTTTTAATAGGAAACACAATATCGATTGCGCAAGCTAAAGGTGTTACTGACATTGAACGCGCACAGAAGCTTAATCAATTTCTTGATCACCTCCACCGAGCCCGAAATCAACGAGAATATTATCAAAGTTGGTGTAGAAATACTGACCCTACAGCAGTCGTTCTGTAATTTGATTTTGCCCAAACCGTTCACTACCCTGTCAGTCCACAACAACCTGGTACAGCATACTTCAAAGCAACCAAGAAGTGCGGAGTCTTCGGAATTACAGACGAAAAACAAAAAGTTCAGGTTAGAATTTCAAACTGAATCATAGGAACTCAAATTGCTCGCCTTTGCAGGATCTTACTTATATATATTTTTTTTTTACAGTACAATTACATGATAGACGAAAAAGATGACGTTGGTAAAGGACCTAACTGTGTTGTGAGCATCCTGCATTATCACCTGCAAACCTACTATAAAGACATTGAAACACTCGTTCTTTTCTGTGACAATTGTGTTGGGCAGAATAAGAATAACACTGTACTATCATATCTGCAATGGTGTTTGGCTCGGGGTCTTAACAAAACTATTTTATTCAATTTTCTACTTACCGGGCACACTAAGTTCGCGCCTGATCGTTACTTCGGTATTTTCAAAAGTAAGTATGCCGTCAGTAACATCGACACGTATGCAGATTTACTGCAGTGTGTCGAGGCATCATCACCTGGGGGTTATAATAAAGCTGTATCGGCTGAAAAAGTCGTCTGGTATGAATGGGACAGCTATTTTAAACCACTGTACAAGTCACTTTTTGGAATAACGCAATTCCATCATTTCATAATCTCTACAGATTGTGTAAAAACAAAGAAATTAGCAGAGAGTGAAGAAGTGCAGTCCTTTAAGCTTCTGTTAAAACCTATCGATCCTGAAATGCCGAAAGTTATACAACCAGCCGGTTTATCTTTGGAACGTCAGTGGTACATCTATCACAATCTTCGCAGCTTAGTTTCGGATATATCTAAAGTAGATATTGTGGCTCCATTGCCGAAAGATTTGCCATCGAAGAAACGGAAGGCAAAAACTAGTGAAGATGTTCTCAAACCAGACGAGGAACCAGGTCCATCTTCCTCAGGATCAACACGTAAAAAGATCTCAAGGAAAACGACAACAAAGAAAAATACATAAACTACTCAGCATTATTCTTTTTGGCCCATAATACGTTTTTCTAGTGTATAATCATGTCTTTATAGCTTATAATTCAATGTATTTTGTTCATTACCAATAAATTATATTTTGTCGTATTTTTACTCTTCTTTCTCTACATTTTTAGTACACTTCTAAGCAAGTTAGGATTTTCTGCTTTTCACCACGTGAAAAAGCATCTCATCTTCCATCCGAATCAACCAAAAAGTGAAAATTGATTTTTTGACACCTAAGCCCCCTTTCCGTAGACCAGGTCACATATATATATGTATATATATATGAATTTCATGATCCAATGATCGGATCTAAACCTGATTAGTAAGGGACCTCTGAGATACTACCTTTTCGATGCAAAAAGAATTATCGAAATCGGTTGACGTGGTCCAAAGTTATGCGGTAACATACATAAAAACAAAAAAAAATATTCCGACGAACTGATAACCTCCTCCTTTTTTGGAGGTCGGTTAAAAAGATCAATCGGTTTATGGGCATAACGCCGGGTCGTTACGTACCAGTTGCGATAATATGATGGAGCTTAAATTATTTAAAAAGAAGGCTGAAATTTTTGTCGAGTGTTGTTAGTTATCTCGAAAAAAACTATCAGTTTAATAACAACAAATTTGAAAATTCGAATGACTTTTGCCTATAACTTACAACTCCTTTTTCTCAATTTACTGACTTAGATACTCTTTTTAGGGAATTCTTAGGCTTTCGCTTTTGCTTTGACCTTTCGTCGTAAAGGTCGTAATAAAATTCCCCTTTAAGTTAAGATATTTAAAAACTAGGTGCGCATATACATGTACTTCAGACCTTAGGGAAAAAATACAAATAAAATTCCATACGGGCTAGTATGTAATTTTTATTAGAATTTAAGAATAATTAAATAAAGAGAACGGTACAATTTAATTTGTTTTAATATGAATAAATGAAAGACGGAAAATAGTCCTTATTTGTTAAGTTTTAACCATCATCATATGTGTGTGGTACGACCGTGGGGCCTTTCAAGTTTTACAAATAATAATTTTAAGGTAGAAAAATTAAACTGAATAATAATTATTAAAATCAATATATTTGATGGAAAAAATAAGAACTAAGTAATAATAATTTCTTTTCAGCGAAAAAATGAGCATGCAGAAAAAGTGAGGTTATGTAAGTGACATCACCTTATACTTATTTCTCCATGATTGGCTCCTATGTATAATGATGGGTACGCTCATGTTAAAATGAATAACACTTTTATTTTTTATAAACTATATTTTGTTTATATACCAAAATATTGTTTAAAACAAGAACTCTGGCGTTTTAAAGTATTTTCTGTTACTTACATTCATAATTTTGCTTTGAATAAAAATGTACTGAAAAGTACTGATTTTCTTAGAATGCAAAAGTCTAACGTACGTAAAAAATCTGGCAACCCTATGTAAGATTAAGAACCCTTTCAACAAT